GCTCAAAAGGTTCCTTAAATTTTGGGATCAATCTGGACAAGCCATCCGCATGTTCCAATTTCTTTAATGGTAAATACTCCATCTTAAAATCATAGTTTAGTAAAATTGTTCTCCAACCTGTTGCCAGTATGTGTCAGAATACCTTCTTTAGAACTAAAAATAGTCAGTAATGTGCGGTGATCTCTTTGCAGAATAAATTTCCTACCGTGTATCATTCTGTTGTATCCTTTAAAAGGTTACAAACAGACAAAGGTGGTACTCAAGTGAAGGAACAGCAACACGTTCATAGATGAAAGAAAGAGAGGTTTATTGTAAAAGAGAATACACTACTGAAAGACAGGGAATCAGGTGGCAGGCTATTAATACCTGAAGCAAAGCCCTAGGTATAACCTGTGCTCACTATATATAGTTACTGATATAGTCAGTTCACATAGGCAATAGAGAGTGTAGGACATTCCATTACAACACATTTTGTGAAATATTTTCACTGCAAAAATAATAACGAGTGCTTCTTTTTCAATAAGATTATAATTTTTTTCAACTGACATTAGTGTTCCATGTGCATGAGCAACTGCTTTTATTTTACCATCTTTGAATTTATGATAAATAATTGCTCTAATACCATAATCACTATCATTTGCTGCTACAATTATTTATAAATCAGAATTGAAATGCATTAACAATATTTAATGTTAATATGTTCTTTATGTCTTCAAGAGATTTTTGACATTCATTGGACCAATTCAACACTGCACCTTTTTTTAATAATTTATTTAAGGGTGCTCTCAATTTATGCATGTTTGGCACATAAAGATTATAATAGCTTGTGAGCCCTAGAAATGATTATTAAGTAACATTTGTTGGAGCAAGCATATTTTTAATAGCACTTCTTGATGGATCTAGTCTACACTTATTTGTATCACTTATTTGACCCAAGTATTTTATATCATTCCTGAAAAATTGGCATTTCTCCACATGAGTTTGAACCCATAATCCTCTATGCTCTGAAATACTTATTGTACGTCTTCTGAATGTTGCCATTTAGTTTCAGTTTTTATGAGTGTTATACAAATATGCAATGGCAAAATGTAAGCCAGCTAACATCATATCCATTACATGCTGGAAAATGCTAGGTACTACTTTGACCCTGAATGACAGCCAATTAAAACTGTATAGACCTTTGTGTATCTGTCTATATTTCTGAGATGAGGTATTATGTACACTATTTACATTATTACATTATTTGGACTATTGTCCTCATCTTTGTTGCTATATTTATTACACCGTTTTGGCCATTGTACGCTCCGGCCTTCTTCAGGTGGTTGGAATGTTGAACTGAACACTTTATTTTGCTCACTGGGGTAGACTGTTCTAGTTCCATGTGCCATGTCTAATGGATGTCAGTTATCAGTTATCTCCTGTTAATTCCCCTCTCCAAGTTCTTCACTGTCTTAACCAGTCTTTGAGGACACATGGCACTGTGGATAAAGGTGTTGGTTAGATCCAGTGACAAGGACCCAAGAGATTTCTTTCTTGTATGATGTCTGCTATGAAAATCCTTTAATATTCGCTTCTGTAACACACTCAGTATTACAACCCTTCGACCAAACATTTCTACACCATTGCATAGTAAGTAAACATTTAAGTCCGGTTTTCATTCTTTGTTATGTTCTTATTTTAACAATAAAGCTGTCATTTTCCACTTTTTCTTTTATTTCTTCCATGATAACTGGTAACTCTTGTACTACATTGTACAAAATGTTTTTTATTTCCATTTTTATTTTTAGTCCTGTAATCACTGTGTCCTTAAATGGTTCTGCATTTTTAGGTATTAATCTTGATAATCCATCCACATGTCCTAATTTTTTAGATGGTTGGTACTCCATAGTAAAATCATAGTTTAATAAGACGGTAACTCAGTGTTGTAGTCTATTAGCTGTATACATAGGTATTCCTTTCTTTGAACCATATATTGTTAATAGAGGACTGTGGTCTTTTTGCAACCTAAAATTTTTTCTATGAATAAATTTATGAAATTTTTCACAGCAAGTATAATTACTAGAGCTACTTTTTCTATCTGGCTGTATTCTCTGCTGGTAGAAGTGAGTGTGAGGCATAAGTGAAGGCTTTCATTTTACTGCCATTGTATTTGTATAAAATCACTGCTCCAATACCATACTCACCAGCATCTGATGCCACTACAATTTCTGCTTTTGGATCATAGTGTGCTAATGATAAATCTGACATCAGTCTTTTTTTTTATTTCATCAAACACCTTTTGACAGTTATTATTCCAGTTCCACTTCCTCCTTTTTTAAGTAGATCATTCAGTGGAGCTCTCAAATTATGCCTATTATGTATATGTATTTGATAGTAATTAACAAGTCCTAGAAAAGCTTGTAACATAGTCATGTTTGTTGGTGGAGGCATATTTTTAATTGTACTTGCCCTTAACAGATCTGGTTGACGACCATTTTTATCAATAATTTGACCAAGATATTTCCTTTTTGGCAAAAGAATTTCGCATTTTCCTTCACTGAGCTTGAATCCATACTCTTAGTTTTTCCAAAATTGTTTTCACATGCCCAACATGTTGTTCTTTAGATACACTTTTGATTAAAATGTCATCCAGACATGCCACTGTGAAATTGCAATCTGCAAGCATGGTATCCATAGTTTATTGAAAAGTAGCTGGTGTCACCTTTATACCAAAAGGAAGTTTGTTAAACTTGTATAATCCTCTATGCATATTTATAGTCATTAATTTTGAACACTCACTTTCAGTCTGAATTTGTGAATACACTTCAGAGAGATCCAGCTTTGAAAATATTCTTCTGCCATTTATCTTTGAAAATATTTCCTCTGGACTTGGTAATAGGTAGTTATGTGTTTCTAAACAACTGCTTAATCCTGTCAAGAAATCTGTGCAAACATTAATTTTATTATTTTTTTTCTTTACATCCGCTGCAATCCATTTTGAATGGTTAATTTCTTCTATTACACAAATTCTTTCACGTCTGTCCAACTCTTTGTTGACATGTTCCAATGCTGTGAATGGTATGCTGTTTCAGCTTAAACACTGGCATTGAACCTTTTATACTTGAAAATCCACCTTGAATTTTGAATACTGATTCAGTTCATTTGACAGAACATCTGGAAAATATTTTTTTAATTCTTCTTTAAGATTTTTGCTCTGACTTTTTAAATTGGTTTCTTGTCCACTTATGCTATTACAATAAACATTTATCAGCAAATCCCAAAATTCAAATATTTGTATCATTTTTTTAATACATAAGCTTTGTTTTTTAGATGCTTATTACGGAATGAGATGTTACAAATCATTTCTCCAAAAAATAATTTCTCACCACCCACTGAAAATGCAACTTTAGAAGTTTGTTTTAATAAAGGCTTTCCAATTTCTTTCCATATGGTTTCACTGATTATTGAAATATCACTACCAGTGTCCAGTAGCATTTCCACACTCACATTATTTATTTTCGCATTCACAAATTTCCTTTTGTTTTCTGTGACCATTTTTTCCATTGCAATACTGTGTATGAATTTATTCCTGTGAGGAGAATTTTTTCTTGGTTTGATTTTGCAGTGTGACTTTATATGTCCCCATTTACCACACTTGTAACATTCTGCATTTTTAAATGGACAGTCATTGCCAAGATGTAATTTGCCACATCTGAAACAAAGATTTATTATCCTTTTTGCACATATGTCCTTTGCTTGTACCAATGCACATTCTATTTTCTGAATTTCTTCAGCATTGTGTTTCAGACTTAGAATTGTCTGGCAATCATCCACTATTCTTGCAGTCTAACATTACTGCTTTGTTCAATTTTCAAATTTCATTTTTTTTATTTCAGCATCTTTTTTACCTGTTAAACCTTGAGCAAAAATTAACACTTTGAACATATCTGGAGTCATTTCCTTTATTCTAAACTTTTCACATTCTTTGTTGATGATACCAGCATATGTAACAAAATTTTTGTCCTCTTTTTTGGTTAGATTCATGCACCTCCAATGAGCATTAAACTTGTTGCTAAAGATTTTCATCATTGTACCATGTCTTCAAACCCAATTTCACCTGTTTTTTTTTTGTAATATGTAGTTACAGTATTTTTCATACTATATCAAAGCTATGTTCCTCAACAACAATCTTGTTTTTCTCTTATCTTCCCATATCTATGATAAATATGCAGAAAAAGTCAGTCCTTTATCAGGATTGTATACAAATTCTAATATGGTGTTTTGGCAACATCTGGTGTAAGAGAGAAAAATATTTCATTTTCTTCAGAATTATAGCCAACAACTCCTATTGCTGTTTTTGTAGTTCTAGCAACTGTTGATTTTGTTGTTGATGCTGTTTCTGTTGTTGAATTTCAACTATCGAAGCCAAAATTTGCTCCATATTTGCAAGAATATGTTTTTTCCTAAACCCAAGAAAAAATTTTTTTTCTTCTACACAACAAAAAAAAAAATTTTTTAAACAAACATGGTTAAAATTCTTGTTGACACCTGTATCCTTGTTCCTGATGCAACAAATATATTTTTTCTGTACTTGTTCACTCAGTATGAGTTTCCAAAATCCTTGTAACACCAGTTACAACTCATATGAGTTCATGAATCCTTATCACCGTTATAACTTGTAAGAGTTCCAAATTCTCGTCACAACTGTTATAAATTCCCTGAGTTTTAAATCACTCATCACCACTTTTATAATACAATTCATAATGCTTATAATATAAGTAATGCTTCGGCTACATGCTGTGACATCTGTATTAATTAGTCAAAAAACTGATTCCAAACGGCTTCTTTTTTTTACTTCTGACCTGGAGCTTTTTATTTATAGTTATGGACTAGTTCATATAATCACTGCTAGTGTACTATTTACTCCACAACATCATAAATTGTTTTTGAAAATTTCATTCTACTTCCTGTAATATGACAAAAATGTAACCCATTCTTCAGGGTTGTATAAAGATTCATCAATGGAGTTTATGACTGCATCAGGTCTGAATGAAACTGTAGTACAAGTTTCATTTGATTTTTGTAACATGACTTCAAACACCCTTGTCTGATGTTCTAATAATTTTAGTGTTCGTTGTTCTTGTTTTTTGTTCCAATAACAGATTTTGCTGTTGTTCCAGTAACTGTCTTAACACAATGTTTAAGTCCCCCATATTGTGTGTTTCTCAAATCCTTGATTGACGTCAATTCAGAAATCCTTACAATGTCAGATTTATTAATTTTTCTAAATGTGAGTTTGAATCATCATTGCCACTATTATAATGGTCAAATAAGCTTGTAGTTCTGGTTAATAATATTCAAATGAAAACACTGGAAATCCTTGACTGACGTCAATTCAGAAATCCTTACAATGTCAGATTTATTAATATTTCTAAATGTGAGTTTGAATCATCATTGCCACTATTATAATGGTCAAATAAGCTTGTAGTTCTGGTTAATAATATTCAAATGAAAACACTGGAAAAAAGATTAGTGAAGAAACTGTTAATCATATAGATTAATAACTTTAATGGTGAATACTGTAGTTAGTGGAGTAATGCATGTGACACACTTCACAACACATTTTGTGACTCCTTTTGTATGAGCTAACGTTCTACTCATAGTGAATGGAATTTCTTCTATTACTCTTCCTTTTCATTCTATCTATCATCTTTCTTACACCCTCTTTCTTTTACACTGTCTTTATCTTCTTTCTATTCACATGTGTCTTACCCTTTCATTTTTAATCTTTCCACATCATTCTATCCTCATCTTTTTCACATTTTCATTTTTTCTTTCTTCATCTTTTTTACACTTTCTTCTTTGACTCTGTCTTTTTCTTCATTCTATCCTCATCTTTCTCACACTTCCTTTTTACTCTGTCTTCCTCTTCATTCTATCCACATCTGTCTTACCCTTTCTTCTTTCACTGCATTTCCTCTTCATTGTATCCCCATATTTGCTTACCCTTTCTTCTTTTACCCTATCTTTTTCATCATTCTATCGTCATCTTTCTCACACTTTCTTCTTTTACTCTGTCTTCCTTTTCATTCTATCCACATTTGTTTTACTCTTTCTTCTTTCACTATCTTTTCTCCCCATTGTATTCCCATCTTTTTTATCCTTTCTTCTTTTACCTTATTTTTGTCATCATTCTATCTTCATCTTTCTCGCATTTTCTTCTTTTACTCTTTCCTCTTCATTCTATTCACATTTGTCTTACCCTTTCTTCTTTCACAGTCTTTCCTCTTGTTATTGTCAACTTCTCAAACTTTACTGTCTTCATCTTCATATTATCTTCATCTTTCATCTTTGACACTGTCTTACTCTTCATTCTATACTCATCTTTCTCACATTTTTTTCTTTTACTCTTTCCTCTTCATTCTATCCACATCTATCTTAACTTTTCTCCCTTCACTGTTTTTCCTTTTCATTCTATCCTCATTACCCTTTCTTTCTTCATCCTCTGTTTCTCTTCATTCTATCTTCATCTTTCTCACTTTCTTCTTTTACTCTGTCTTCCTTTTCATACTATCTTCATCTTTCATCTTTGACGCTGTCTTACTCTTCATTCTGTCCTCATCTACATCACATTTCCTTCTTTTACTTTTGCCTCTTCATTATATCCACATTTGTCTTACCTTTTCTTCTGTCACTGTCTTTCCTCTACATTGTATCCCCATCTTTCTTACCATTTCTTATTTTAATCTGTCTTCCTCTTCATTCATTCCTCATCTTTCTTATCCTTTCTTTTTTTCCTTGACATTCTCTTCATTCTATCCACATATTTCTTACATGTTCTTTTTTTACTCTGTCTTACTCATCATGTTATCTTCATCTTTCATCTTTGACACTCTCTGTTCTCTTCATTCTGTCCTCATCTTTCTTACCCTTTCTTCTTTTACCGTCTTTCTCTTCACATCTTACTCACACTTTCTCCTTTTACTGTCTTCCTCTTCTGTCTTCATCTTTCTTATCCTTTCTTCTTTTACTCTTTCCTCTTCATTCTTTCCTTATTTTTGTAGCCATTCTTCTTTTACTCTTTCTATTCTCTCTTATCACTTCTATTAGCTTTTCTTCTTTTACTTTATCTCTCTCTTTATCTATTCTCCTCTTTCTTTTATCTTCTCTTACTCTATAAATTTTCACACTTGTAATTATTTATAACTTATCCTCTTCTTCACTCCATCAAAATATTCTAATATCCCTCTGATAACTGATATCCTTAAAAATATTAATTCTATCCTCTTTTTATTATTTAACCACTTATTTCCAGATTCATTTCTTCATTATTCTAAAAAACATTTTCATTTACCATCTATGGTCAGAAACCTGTCAAAATGCACAAGTGTTTGGTTCCTGGTGGCCTGTCTACTAGGCAGCACCTCCCCATTAAAGTAATAAGGTATAGTCAAGGTTTTGTGACAAAAACTGATGGAACTAGGAAACCCACATGTTTGTATATTTTTACTTTAAAAATGACGTATTTCCCTTGATGAGGGACACAAATCTTCATCTTTAAATTCATAAACCATTTTATAGCTCTCTTATTTTTTACTTTTCTCTTCTTTTGAAATATCTTTTCTCTTTTTTTTCGTCTGTTTTTAATTCTCATATTCTCTTCTCACTCTTCCTAATTTTCCTCTTCTGGTTCACTTTAAATAAAATCTTCATCCTAAAAATCCCTTCTGCCTAAAAATAAACCATCGTCCCTAAACCATCTCCCCTTCTACAACCCCAAATCTTTTCCTTCTCCTCACACTTTTACTCCCTGATCATCCGGCTTCACCTCTCTCTTTTACATTCCCTAACTACTCCTCTCTGTAGAATCCTATTTCTTCTCCTCTGCCTACCATTCTATCCTTCCCTATTGTGTTTTCCATAAAATTGTTACCTTGCTCTCATTTATCTCTTTTCCTACTTAATATTCCTCTTTCTTAAGCCTTTTCGTGTCTATTTATGCCCTTATTACTCTCTTTCATTTCTAACCTTAACCTCTTCCTCGTTCTGTTACCCCTCTCTATCCGAAACCATTCCGTCTTTTTAACTTCCTCCTCCACCACCACTCACTTTGTAACCTCCGCCTCTGCTACATTCCCAAATACCTCCTCCTCCTACGTTAAATTCTCTCTCCTCCTCCTCTCACTCTCTATACTCGCCTATCAGCCCTGCGCTATCAACAGCAGCAGCAGGAAGAAGGAAGGTAGGAGGCCACTTGTAATGGCGGCCGTTGCAACATGATAGAAGACGGTCCTGGATCACAACAACACGGAGGTGGTGGTGCCCAGCTAGTAGTAGGAGCTAGTCCAGCAGTTGTCTCCTCCGTCGGTAGTGCTGCCGGACTTGGGACAGGAATGGTTACCAAACAACAACCGGACGAGTCTGGCCAGAGGCCGCAGTATTCGATGCCCGGAATTTTACACTTCTTACAAACGGAATGGGCACGTTTTGAAATGGAGCGATCGCAATGGGAGGTGGAGAGGGCAGAACTTCAAGTAAGATTACGTTACTCAACTCCTACTACCAGCAACATTTATTAGTATTTTTGTTATTTATTATTATTAGCAGCGGCAGTCTTGTTGGTACTTGTATTTTGTATTATTTCAATGTATTCCTTTCTTTCACAGCCATTTCCGCTCTTGTCTCAAAAATATAATCAAGTCACAAGTAGAACTATTTAAAATAAACCTTTTTGATAATATTAATTCCCCAGATGTTATCTATGTGTTGATATGTTTGCAGTTCCTCAAGTTGTGCCTCTAAAAATGTACATCTTGGGGGATACATCTCCTGTTCAGCCTTTTCTTTTTTTACTTATTTAATGTCTACTTGAGGTAGGCTAGTCTTATGAAACCAGGATTGCTTTTTTCCTTTCCTTGTTGAAATGCCCAACATATTTGTTGGCTTGTTGTAGGTAGATAAATATATTATTTTACAATGCATAAAAATACTAGATCTTCTATATATCAACATTAAAAAAAAACAAAAAAACAGTTGTTTCTTGTCGATTTCTTTCTTTCCATGTTATTTTGATTAATAAACCCCGATTTTTAATTATTATCAAATATTTCACCAGCATCTCACCTTTTTACACGAAAAAATAAAGATCTTTAAAGAGTACCTTTTTTTTTTCTTCAATAATACTTATTTTTATACTCATTATTCAATAATGATTATTTCTATAACTGTTATTTTGCCTTTTATCTTGATTATTCAACAAATTCATTGCTATTTTTTTAAAGATCAACTCTTAGAAATCGTACTTCTGTTTTTGGTTTGGGTAGGTACCTTAGACCTTGTAAAACCGAACTTAATGCTGTTTTCTATTGAGAATTCATATTTAAATGTCGATGTCAGTTATTTAGGTATTTTTTTTTATTACCAGTAATTAGTAGTCTAACTCCTGTAAGAACAGAACCCAGCTATTTTTTTTTTTGTGTGTAATGCTCACAATCACATCTGTCATTCAATTCTCAGATTCTGTGGCATGACCAATTTTTCTCTAAATAAATCTCTCTAGTCGGACTGCATCCAGTTTTAAATTATTACAAAATTAAAATAAATAAATCCTTAATATTTTATTCATTAAATCTCTATATTTTTTTATGATTATTTCGATTATGAAGTAAGCATTTTAAATTGGATTTATTTTTAGAGAAATAAGTAAAAACAAAAAAAAAAATCCTGTCAGTCATTTTACATACATATTTAAAAAAAAAAACACTTTCTGAATTTTAACATTTAAATTCAGTGTTAAATATATATACAGAACAAAAAAAATGTCATTTGTCTTTTAAAACCATTATCAATCAAATTCAAAGCCCATAATATTTTTAAAAGTCCAGATCATCTGGTGGGTACTGAGGGTCAGGATCGAAAGATTTTTCTTGGTACCTCCTTCACATTTATTTTACCCTTAAATTTCATAAATAAAAAAAAAAAAATTAACCTTACAAATCTCTATCAGTCTATCATTCTTAATAACAACTCCTCCTAACCATTTCTTTCTTTCTTTAAACCTCGATCTTTGAGGGTACCTTAACCTTCCCTTCCGTTCTTTTCCTTTTTTTATTCATTCTCAATACTTACTACTACTACTTTGTAAATTTAAAACTTCATATTAAGATGATTAAATTGAATCTTGTTGTTCTGTTTGAATTTAATCTTCAATTTGAAAATTTTAGCATCAATACGGTTAAAAATAATAATATCAGTTGTTAGTATTTATTTATTTCTAATGCTTTTTCAATAATGTCTACTGCTACTCTTGGTCTTAAACTCTTAATATTGGTCTATCTACTAAATCCTGTCTTAAACTTTGACATATCTATGTTAATCCGTCTGTAACTATTTATTTATTTTGTGTGTGTGCCCAAGTTATTAATCTTTCGGTAGAAATAACTTACTTGCCCTATCTATTGTTGGGGTAAATGTTTTGTTGTCTCCCCCCCCTTTTCTGATCATTAAGATGAGACAGTCTGTTTGAGAAATCTTAGTGCTACTGAACTACTACTAGCACAAAACCCAGCATCACAAACTAAAAACCTATTCAAAATTGTTTCGCAATTTATTTATATATATATATAGTTTATACTTTTTGAAAAAATTAAATTCCACTGAACATCATGATTCAATTAAATTCGTTCATCCTGTTTTTTACTGAGTAAATTTTTTTTTATACAAATGAAATGAAAAGGGATATTTTTTTTTAATCAATGACACATCTGCTATGATGTATTCTATTCAACTGTTGTCAGTTTATATATATATATATATATATATATATATATATATATATATACTATAAATTTACCAAACAAATGGTAATTTTTTTCATTATAAAAATGATGTAAACAGAAAACAATTTTACTATCTCAATAAAAAACAAGCTGAATAATATTTAAACTGAATAAATAATATTAAATTAAGCTCTTTTTCCCCATCTTAAAAATTATGTAGTAATTTTTTTTTCTTTACATACAAAGGAAAGTAATATTTTCCTTAAATTGTATTCATTTTAAAATGCTAAATTTAAACAAATTTTATTTTCAATATATGCATTATTAATCCTTTTAAAAATGCTTTTTTTCTTTATATTACCTGATCTACCTATAAAAAGAAAAAAATCAACTTTATTTTTATTTTTGGCTTTTTCAATCTTAAGTGCCAGATCAAAACAAATTTCTTGGAGAATGACTGGATTATTCCTCATAACTAAAACTTCTTTATTTTTATTTTTTTACAATGTTTCTTTAGTTTTTGCAACCTACCTAGGAATCAGATTCTTTTATATTCATTTTAGATCGCGTAAAAACTGCTATTATTTCTTCTTGTCAATCATTCTTTACCATTTATGGTAATCTATCATGAGAAGACTTAATTCACCTCTATATTTTATCTACCTGTAAATCTCTTATTAAACTTTTACCCCAATCTAACCTCCTTTTCGACCCTTATTTTCAAAATGGAAGTCTGACACCTGTATCACTTTTTACTTTTATTAACAACACTAAAGGATTGATTTTAAACTTTCCAGAGATGATTTTCTTGTCTCATGCCTCTCTCTAATTTATTTATTTTCGTAAATATCTGAAAATGAAGCCTAAATGAGGCTTTATTATCAACTTTCTATACATCTTTTTCTTTTTTTTTTCTTTTTTTTTCAATTCCAATTGAGTTAAGTTCTTAAAGGTAAACACATCCATAGATCTGATACTGAAGTCCTCTTGTTAATTTCATTCTTAAAAAGAAAATAAGCAGATATCCTCTTGTCGCACCTTTACGTTCTCTATTTTTTTCACCTATCATCCCTTACTGAATTTAATAAACCCGACTCCAATCCTAACCCCGCCCTTGCGTCATCTCGTTGTGTGTGAGCGTGCGTGCCAACCAGATCTATCTCATCTTGGCCTTAAAACCCAGTTCTTCTCAGTAGGTTCTTTAAAGTTAAAATAGATTCTCCCCTACCAATCAAGGTTCATACTTTTTTTCTTTTTAAAAAGAATATCTAAAATTATTAACTTTTATGGTCGGTTTTATATATATTTTCTTCCCCCCACCTCATTCCATCA